ATATTCTAATGGGACGTCCAAAAAAGGAAAGTGGGAACCTTCTAACGGGACGGAGGGAGTATCTTTTTAATCAAAGAATTAAAACTAATCACTTTATATACTCGTATATTAGTTTGTATTTTTATTTGAAGTATTATAACTAATCTCTTTATGTATTAGTGTGTGTGTGTGTATATATACTAATAAGAAATTTTAAACGGGTCCGGGTCCTTAACGGGTCGGAATCATATGTACCATACCCGACCCGTTTATTAAAAGTAACGTACTAACGGGTCCGGGTTCGGGTCCGGGTAAACGGAATAAAATAAGGACCCATACCCGTTAAAAACAACCGGGTCCGGGTCGGGTCCGGGTCTAGACCCGACCCATTGACAGGCCTAGTCATACTGACAGTGATTGGGCAGGTCGTTTGGATGATAGAAAGAGCACATCAGGGTCTATGTTCAACCTAGGATCAGGAGGAATCACCTGGAGCTCCAAGAAGCAAGAAACAGTTGATGTGTCCTCTTCAGAAGCAGAGTACGTTGCAGCAGGTGCAGCAGCTATGCAGGCTATTTGGCTAAAGAAACTTCTTAAAGACTTAGAGAACAATCAAGATGAAGCTATAGACCAAGAATCCAGTATACCATGCAAGGACAAAGCATATTGAAGTTCAACATCACTTTATTAGGCAACTTGTAGCTGAAGGGAAGATCATCATGAAATTTTGTTGTACCAATCTTCAGAATACAGATTTGTTCACTAAAGCTTTGAATCAAGCTAAGCATCAATACTTCATGAAAAAAATAGAAATGATCTTTCCTTATTTTTAAATAAATTTGATTTACTCTCTATTGTTAGCTATTTTATGGAGTCATTAGTGCATTTCCATTCGATTATTTGAACGTGGAATCATGCCTAGAAGATAGGAGTTTGTTGAGTTTGTTTTGCTCCATTATTTCATCTTTCTAATGGCTATAAATAGCCTATGATCTCTACGCATGAATAATATGAAAAAACATTCTGAAAATCAGCTTGAGCATAATAGCTTTAAGGCTTTTAATCCTTCTCTTTATATATACTATGCTCAAGAAATTGAAGTTTTAAGGTAGTTTTCAGAGTTTGTTAATTACAAAATATTACCAATAGTAAAAATAAGAGTTAATGACCTATATATGACTAAAATTAGTTTCATGTGCACAAATAGGACTAGAAACATAATTGATGTTTCGTAAGACTTAAAAGGGTCTGTTTTTCCAATTTTATCCTTGAAGGCTTGAACTCTAATTAAATGCTTTTGGCCTTTTTACGCTTACGGGAGCTTTCATAAGACCTAACCCACCCTCTCTGCAACCGCATGCCGCCATCCTCGCCGGCGCCGCCTGCCACCACCGCCCTCGCCAGTACCGCCTGCTGTCTCCCTTGTTGGCACCGCCGCCATCCTCCGCCATCATCACCATTAAGTTTGCAGATTTTTAGATCTGTCATAAAGTTGGCAGAAAATTGCCATAAGTTTGGCAAAAAATATGAATTCAAAATCCGAATATTCGAAAAAAAAATGGAATAAGCACATTTTCACAATCAGAATTTAGAAAACGGAGCTAATGACAAAAAATTAACAGATTTGCCATAAAATTGGCAGATTTATCTTGACGAATTTACACAAAACTGCCATAGTCTTGGCAAAATATGAAGTCCACAACTAAACTTTAACGGAAATAAGAATTTAATGACAAAATAAAAAAATAAAAAAAATGATTAACACAAAAAGTGTTGTGCCATAATATGATTATCAGAGCATTTCTGTCATAAATTTGGCAAAATCGCATGTCATCATCCAAATATATGCCATAAACTTGGCAAAATTGTATGTCATAGTCCAAAAATCTGGAAAATTGATTTTTTTTAAAGTCAAGAAATCAGGAAACGGAAATTTGAAATAGAAGTCCAAAAACCAACAAATTGAATGTCAAAACTACAAAACAACATAGAAATGGAGGAAAATCCAGAAAAATCTGTTTCAAAGTCAAAAATATCATAATAGGAGGAGGAATAGGAGTCAGAGGAGGAGGAGAAGGAGGAGGAGGAAGAGGAAGAACAAACATGATCCGGCGGCGTGCGCGCGGTGGAGTCGGCGGCGGCGGTGATGGCTAAGGATGAAATCGACGACGGCGTATAGACAATGTGGTGAAGTTGATCGATCTGATGTGTGCAGAGATGGAGCAGACGATCGATATGCTATGCTATGGAGAAGAAATAGATTGAAGATGGGGAGATGGATGGATCTGCTAGATTGAGAAGAATGGGAGATGGAGGATGGTGCGCAGGAGAAAGTGATAAGGTTATGCGTAGAAGAGATTCTCGATTGACTAAAGAGGGGTAAAAATGGAATGAGAAATTACGTAGGTTTTGGAATAGGAGTAATATGATTCTATTTGGGGAATAAAACATATATGGTCCTATTTAAGAATTTCTCCTCTCTTTTAGTCCTATATGGGGCAATTACTTTAAAAATAAAGGCTTACAAAAAAGTGACTAACATAAGTATAGACATATGTAAGCACGTATCGAAAGGATTTAAAGGACCTTCGTCCCCGTAGAACGATTACGTTATGAAGAAAACAAAAGGGGCTGAATTTGCGGGATGTGGATGAAATTGATGCTTCGTAGCAAAAAAATGAGATGAAGTTGCAACCCTATATTAATATTAATAACGTGCAAAAACTCCCGTGTTTGTGCAATGTAATCACAGAATTCCGGTATTATTAGAAAACACCCTAGTTTTTATCACCAACTGCAATATTGAATATAGAGTATTATTCAGGTCCGGCCAGGCCGGACCACTCCCATGTCCGGCCACCTCAATTTGAGGTGGCTCCCGGTGGTATTTTTTTCCCAAATGTTTTTTGTCGGTTCCTCATCAAGTCTAGTTCATCCATACCAAATTTGAGCAAAAAATTCAATCGGGAAGGTCGTCAAATGATTTTTGCAAGTTCACTGTGTTTTATATGTATATTCCGGACCAGTTAACTTGCAAAAAATCATTTGACGACCTTCCTGGTTAAATTTTTTGCTCAAATTTGATATGGATGAACTAGACGTGATGAGGAACATACACAAAAAAAATTGAGCCAAAAATATCACCGGGAACCACCTCAAATTGAGGTGGCCGGACGAGCCTCCTGTCCGGCCTGGCCAGACAGGAAAAGGACTCTTGAATATAAGACCTTAAATTTATACTCCCTCCGTCCCCTTTTAAATGGGACGGGAGATGGTGGCACGGGTTTTAAGAAAAGTGAGTTTGTGTGGTTGATATTAATTGATAAAGTAAGAATAAAGTAAGAATGATTTTGAGCCACACAAAGTTTACCAAATAAGGTATGGAGCAATTAAATAGGGACATCCCAATATGGTAAAACGGGACATTTAAAAGGGGACGGAGGGAGTAGTTATTTAAGCAAGACTGTAAGTGTCTAGATTAACCTGGTATGTGTTTTGAAACCTACTTAACACAGTTCTTTTTACATCAATCTTAAGGTGTGGCTATTATATACACACTTTTACAGTGAGCAACCTCAAACATCATCATTGAAGCCCTCAGATTAGATCACATTAATATCAGGATGTAGTACTTTCCTATGTAATTTGAATAAAAAAACTTAAAGAAAAATATAAAAGATAATTACCTTTTGAAGGACATGAAGGTATAAAGTAAGCCAATCTGTATACACAAACTACGCCTTCTGCACTCAAATTACATTCTTAATTGTATGTGTTGTGTACTTACACCGTAATGGATGGTAGTGTTTCATTAAATTTGTCTAGATTGTTTAAAATCTTGAAATATTTGATGCATATAGTCAAGATTACACCATGAGCACTCTGCACTCATTTTATTTTTGAAAAATAGCACCTGCTGGCTGCTGGGTATAAGTGGAGAAGCAATTTTTTAGTTGTGTGCAGGCCGAATTTTAAATATTTTTTTAGACTTGGAGATGGGCCAGATGGCGCAGTACTAAGGTATTCAATGGATGGTTGCATGACACAATGTTCCACAAATGCAAAAATGTTATGCTATATATAGAATCACATTAGAATTGAGTAGCCCAACAGTCACAAACATTGGTGCATGGAGCTAACAATTCAGTTCTAGTTTCTAGAAAATATTACTGCCTCGGCAAAGTTAATGAAATGACGCAACAAATTAAATTTTCAATCTTAATGAAGCAAAGTCAAATCAGATGCCTTCTCAATTTCCATAAATGCTTGAACCAAAGATCGACTGTGCAAAGTCATCTCCAATCTCACGCTGCAAAAAAAGTATGACCCGAGATAATTAATATTTGAAATTTTATACTCATCCGCTTGATCATTTTATAATAAAAAGCTTACTACCACTTTTGCAATTAAGATTTGTTTACTTTGATTGTTAAATATAAAAAATCTCTATACTAAAATACAACCATGCTTCCGGTACACGCGAAGAGAATCGTTTTTTGCATTGACAAAAAAAATTGTCTGTGTCAAGGGAAAAAAATTGTCGGTGTGAAAAACGATTATTTTCTCTCATCATCATTTTCATTTACCCCAGTGCCGCAAAGGCTCCCACCTATGGTGTAAAATGACGCTTACAATTGACATAGAGCATTTCTCATTAAATATAACATAAGATGCTATTGAAAAAACTTATTTTCGCTTATACGGGGTACAAATGTTTCCAGAAACTATTAACATACTCAATTAAGAATTTATTTTATTCTTTAATTTTATATAATAATTTTTTCTCATTTTCGGATTCTCTTTATTGCAATTTACTAGAATTTCTCCCACAATTTCAGAATATATCAATTTTACTTATAAATATCAATATATATCATCCATGGAAAGGTTAACTTTGTGATCAGTCAAGGATTGTGAAAAACATAAATATTTCGAAACGGAACACGTGACGTTCCATATATACCTGATGATAAGTTGTCGTTGAGTAGTAGTCCTGATTGTAATTTTGTTGAGATGGGAGTTGCCCTGCTCCAAATGCCATTTCTTCTCTTGCTTGTCCCTAGTTAACCATAATTAGTGACATAGGGTGCCATTTATTATGTAAACAAATGAAATAAGGGTTCATAATTTGCTTATTTCTATTTTGGGGTGGCTAACATAGTAACATGTACAATGACATTGCACATGTGAACAGGATAAGACGGATTAAACGCTGCACTTATTAATTGCCATAAATGGAAAATTGATATTCCTATAGACTCACTACTCAAGAATAATATAGCACTAGATATTAATTAAAGGTTGATTCTATGGTACCCTTAAGGTACCGTACATTCGTCCACATGGACCAATCAGAATGATGTTGTAGAATTATTTAAATCTAAATTAAAAATGATATAATGAGTTGGAACAATCAAGTGAATGGTAGGTACGGTACCCTATTTTTTAATTAAAATGATAGATATTATGTAAACAAATGTGTGTTACGGAGTATAAAAAATGGGAAAAACTTATTTTTATGATAGATATTCAATTCACTGTACTCAGTATATATTTATGGGGATAAGGGTCAGTTTGGTCCTCGAAGTTGCAAAAAAGGTGTCAAATAAGTCCTTATATAGAAGATTATGTCTGGATGTGCCATTTGTGGTGGCTCCCGGTGGAATTTTTTGATGAAATTTTTTGAGCATCTTATTCATTAAGTCTAGTTTACTCATATCAAATTTCAGATAAAAATTCAATCAGAAAGACATTCAAATGAATTCTTGAAGATAATTGTGCCGTTGAAAGCGCAGTTATCTTCAAGAATTCATTTGAATGTCTTCCCGATTGAATGTTTAGCTGAAATTTGGTATGAGTAAACTAGACTTAATGAATAGGATGCTCAAAAAGTTTTATCAAAAAATTCCTCCGGGAGCCACCTCAAATGGCACGTCCGGACATAATCTTCTATATAAGGACTTATCTGACACCTTTTTTGCAAGTTCGAGGACCAATGCAAACTGACCCTTTACTCTATGAGCCCGTTTGGTAGCACCAAAATCGGCTGTTTTGGCTGATTCTGCTGAAATTTATGATATTCTGGCTGGAGTGGCTGTTTTGGCTGATTCTGCTGATTTAAGAAAAAAATATTTTAAAAATATATTTTATTAATAAATTAAAGAAAAAATTATATGTAAAAATAGCTAAAATGGTCCTCTACAGTAACTTCAGCCAATACAGCCAGAAAAGTAACTTCAACCTTACTTTTTCGGCTTATTACACAATTCAGCGCGTGAAAGTAAAAGTTACGTGTTTGGTGAAAAAGCTGACTGATAAGCCTGATAAGCCGAAAACAGAGTTCTCCAAACGGGCTCTATATTTATGATAGTTGATGATTGTGTATAAAGAATATTATAAAATGTACGTCATATATATGCACCGACCTGGATTAAAGATTGGCCAAACCAATGAGGGTCGTAGGACTGGCCAAAACCAACACTATCAGAGTCATTATAATTCATCATTGCATGTTCATAGCCACTTTGCTGCACAATTTAAATAGGAGTAAATTATTTTCTCATTCTGACACAAATACAGATACATTCATACATGACATAAATATAGAAACATGTTCAGTATTATTATTATTAAATAAATCATATTCTACTTCATCTTAAAGAAGTAAATTAACTTCTTCATACATAAGCAGTTTTTAACTTTCATAGCATCTTATTCCTTTACGTATTGACTACATTTTGCCGCAAGTTTTTAGTTCTCGATCATATGAAATAAAAGCACACAGTATGTTTTCGAAAAATATGTTAAGAGGTTTTCTTAATTATATACTACGTCCAAAACTAAGACTGCAAGTATTATATGTATATTATATAGAGCTTATTTGGTAAAATTCAAATTGGCTGAATCGGCTGATTCTGTTGAAATTTATGAAATTCTGACTGAATTTGATGGATTAGCTGATTATGCCGATTTATAAAAAAATAATATTTAATTTTTTTATTAACAAAATAAAGAAAAAGTTATGTGAAAAATAGCTAAAATGATCATCTACCGTATCTTCAGCCAATATTGCTAGAAAAGTAACTTCAACCTTGTTTTTTATTATTATTACAAATTTCTGGGCGCGAAATCAAAACTACCGTGTTGGTGAAAAAGTTGGCCTATAATCCTAATAAACTGAAAAACACGGTTACCAAACGGGCTCATAATCACTATAATATAAAATTGAATATAATCATGTCATTAAATAGTATGGACATTGAGCATATAAGTCACATTTTTATTAGTGATCGAGGTTTGCAATAAGTCAATTTACTCCATGAAGATTTGATGTCGTAACTAATCAACATTTGCAATTTAAAGATCATTCCACCTTCGAAGTACACTGAAAAAATACACCATCGAAAAACTAGGACCAACATAAAAATTTCTCTCAATCAATATATGCGGACATAGCTAGTTTTTTTTATAATACCTGATCATTAGAAAGGTAATTATAGGTTGGATTAGCCCCTGAAATGTGTTCTCCGGCAGACACCTCCCTGTTAAACGCCGCTGTTTTAGTATGATTTTGGTCCCAATTCTCAAAAGTAGAAAAGCCCATTATCAGAGAAGCCTGCGGTGGTGGCGGAGAGAATGGCATCATCTCGCTCTCACCGAACTGTGACGAGGAGAACTGCTGCACGTTTCCGAAGCACGGCGAGTAATCAGTATCTCCACCGAAGGTAAGACTGGGACCGCCGTCGAAGGTTATTTCCGGCGTCAGGTAATATGGTTCAGGGCTTTCGGTGATGGGGTAGTCTCTGTCTCTTGTCAAACCACGGTGGAACAATGATTCTTCCTGCTCCGACAAAGACACGCCAGAAATATCATCATTGTTGGCCGAGTAGAGTGATAGAGACTGGGAGGAAGAACATGGGGCAGCGGCGGCAGGCTTTCCTTGACAGCGAGTGAACAGTTGACCAAATTGGGCAAATGTGCTGACCCTCTTGGGTGCAACTGATCTAGGTTGATAGCCGTCGGAGTTGTTGGATGGAAAGTTGCTTTCGAGTTCTTCATTGTTCTGGCGGCGCAGGAATTTCCTATATTTCTGCATGATTCAAGTATAACCAGTATGAGTCAAATTTTCTGTTAGAAATTGCACTAAACAGGACAAAATCTTTTAGTTGGATTATGAATGATGAAATGTAAAAAATAAAATCATATGTAATTTTTTCCGAAATAAGACTTATTTAATCTTATTAAAAGTATTAAATTTCCCCTATCAAGAGTGATAGTGGAAATTTTAGGGAAAATGTGCACTATATGTGTACATGTAGTGCACGTATTAGGAAGAAACTTTTGGTAGTAATATATATGGACTATGTTTATGTTTTAGCCTTATCATATAAGAATTTTTCCAATTATATATGGACTTATATATTGGTACGTTCTATTGATGCCACTTGAGCACATTTTTTTAGTGGAGGCCTTGGTAAACCTAAAATAAGACTAAAATGTTAATAAAGTGTACAAATATGATCATCAATGTTTCTTCCTAAAATAAGACTCATGGACACCTAATTGATGATGTTTTATTCTCCTAATAGGATCAAATAAGTCCTATTAGGAAATTATAAACATAAAATCATATTTATGCACTTTGATAAAATTTTAGTCCTATTTAGAGCAATTGCTAAAAAAATATTGGGTGATGGGCATGATGCTTAAATTTATGTACCATGTTGTTTTTGTGTTGATCAAAATTTTCTAGTTTGGTCTAATCTAGTAGATATATGATCTCTGTGTATTATATAACTGTCTTTTTGGTCTGGTCTGAAAGGTCTGATCTAATCTGATCTAGTATTTAAGTCTGGACTGATTTGATTTCGAAGTAAAATAAGTCTAATTACAAACATCCCTAATGAATATGACTCCATAAATGAGTGATATATCGCTTCTACAATTATATGCTCCCCTTTACCTCCCATAATCATCGAAGTTGAGTAAGTTCAGTAAGTTTATTCGTTGTTATCTATTTATTTATGTTCTATGTCAAAAGAAAAAGATTCTTTATATATAGGAATAAAACAAAACATAACATAAGTCCTTAAATAGGAATGTCTTTGTTTCTTTCAAAAATGAGACTCATCCACTCCTATATTAGAATGTTTTTTATATTCTATTCTTTCAATGGAAGTTTTTTGAAATAAGACTAATATAAAAACGTTTGAGAATTTCAAAATAGTATTTTCATATCTCTATACTCTAAATAGAAGTAATTAGTGTCAAGTTTTAAAAATAATGTCATGTTTAAACTCTGTTAGTGCGAAAACATGAAAATAATTAGTTCTATTTAAAGAATAAAAATATGATAGTTCTATTTTGAAATTGACAAACATATTTACTCTTATTTAGGGAAATAAAAAACAAACATGACAGTAACAAACATGTTTTGCTTGTCCTATTTTAGATTTCTCAATATGATTACTATTAGAGATTTATCAAACATATACATATTACTACAACAAAATTTATTTACAAAAATTTGACTAAAGTTACTAAGTTAGGAGTGTAAAATTAACTTAAGTGTAAATATTGAATATACATTTCTCGAATTAAAGTTACTATTAAAGTAATTGACTTAAATAGGAGCAAAACGTAAAATGTTCCCTAAATATTTTCAAAAAAATGTTCCCTAAATAGGAGTTAATCTCTAATCTTCCTTAAACAGGAATATAATTTAAATTTCTAACTCAAATACCCCTAATCTAATAAATTAATTGCCCCCAGTCTCCTCTATCAACCAAGGCAGTTCGTTGGTGGCGGGGGCAATTCGTTGGTGGCGGGGCAGTTCGGTGGTGGTGGTGGTGCTCCGACGACCGGCGGAGGCAAACGAACTGGGGCAAAAAAACCTTAGTTTTTTTAGCCCAACCGGAGCTTTTGCGGCGTCAGCGCCCAAAGGACGGCGCCCGGAATCAGTCTGACAGCCGGCAGGGGCCAGAGGTTGGCGGTGGCAGTGGCAGGTTTTTTTGGCCAATCACAAAAAACACACATATTTTGACAATTTTAAAACCACTATAATAGTAATCAGTTCTTACTATTATAGTCACTACAGTTAAAATGCTACATATTTTGAGAAATTTTTATTTTAGTCATAAATATGTAATTATCTTTTAATATGCAAGGGGGGCCGGTGCCCCTATTTTAGTCATAAATAGGTATTAAGGTATGGGAAGTGCAGAAGGGTTTGACCGTGGGTGGTTTCCCAATATACGGGAAAAGTTAACATTCGTTGCCAAATTACGGAAAAAAACTAGGTTATCCAAGAAAGGCGGAGTCGGATTTGGGTGTTCCGACCATGAAGGCTAGCTTTTTTATAAGGCCATTTATGATTTTAGAGTGCAAGTTTATTTATTTATTTGTACTTTTGAAAGGTTATTTATTTCTTCTTCTAAATTGTAAAAGTAATACCATGATATATTTGAAAATGAAAAATACAATGTTTGATTTATTGAATAACAAAACATTGGTTACTTTATTTCATGTTTTAATTCATCATCTGTATTGTGAAATAAAATCATAAAATGAAATATAAATTTGATTTTGTTTAAAATGCAACATTTGTAATTTTAATGGAAGTGAACAAAACAAATGTTGTTTTTAATGTAATTTATTACTACTAAATAAATATGTACATACAATAACAAATTTAATACTAAATCTAACGTTGCATTCTCGGTCCTGGCATGTCCCCGTCGCCAGTGTTCCAAAACCTCGTTGTGTCTTCATAAGTGGCAAAATATGCATCCGACTGTGTAGAGTACTGATACGAACCATAATTCGGTGGTGGTTCAAAAAATGAGAAATCTTGGTGCGAAATTTATCTGGTTAAAATTTATCTGGTTAAATTTATCTGAAGAAATTTTTCTGATTTACTAAATTTCTCTTTTAATTTATCTCATTCGATTTATCTGATTACATTTATCTGAAGAAATTTATCTGATTACAATTATCTGATTAAATTTATCTGATTAAATTTATCTGAAGAAACTTATCTGATCTGATTAAATTTATCTGATTAGATTTATCTGTATAAAATTTTATTTGATTAAATTTATCTGATTACATTTATCTGATTAAATTTATCTGAACAAACTTATCTGATTAAATTTATGTGAAGAAATTTATCTAAAGAAATTGAACACGTATATACCTCGATTTGGATTTTTGGCTTTTACTCTAATTGGTGCATGTATTTTTTAGATTTTAATTCATTGTGGGAAGTATGATTTCTAAAAAAACATAGGCGTTCTTATTGTCGGATTTAGGAATTCGGACAGAAGTAAAATGGAATTATATGTTTTTTGCTTTTAATTCATTGCGGGATGTATAATTTCTTAAAAAAAGAAAAAAAATAGGTTCCCCAGTCGGATTTGCCAATTCCGACAGGAGGTGTGTTCCACGAAAATCTAAGCCTAGCTCTTAGTCGCAACACCCAATTTGGATATTTTGGTGTTCTCATATTTTGGCATGGCAGACCAAAAAGTCTCGCATTTTGGTAATTTCCTCTTTGACCGTTGGGGAGCCGCCGGACAGGTAAAATTTCTGGCTGGAGGGTTGGTGGCCTCGAGTTACCTCGACAGGGCAATCCTCGATTGGATTGGGGCTGTGTTTTTCTGTTTGAGTTGGACGACGTCGTTCGTATGCCATATGGAAGGCCACGAAAGAAAAAAAAATCAGCCTAGGCAGTACGGCCGTTCAGAATGAAATTTTGTTCGCAGCTATTTGTAAGCTTATTGAATTGGGATTCGGTTAAAACCTAAAACGAATTCCTTGATGCACCTACTCTTATACACACCTTATATCCACAATGTTTGTGAATTTTTTTTTTCCCACAATATTTTGTTTGTGCAAAATATTGTCTATGAACTGGGATTCGAAGACAAAAAAACACTTCACAAACATAGGTGGGTACAAAGGTGAGTATAAGAGTGGGTACAAACATCATTTTTTATTCTTCTTTAGTGAACATGAATTTTGATTAAAAAATTGTATACAAAATTACACTACTTCCATCCCTTCTTATTTAGCGAGTGTTTGCAAATGTTTTTGCTTAAAAAACACTTTTTTAAATGATGTTGGTAAAAGTTGATAGTGTTTGAGAAAATAATGATTTTGAAAAGTAAAAGTCCGTATTGTTTGGTAAAATAAGTGCTTTTTTGTAATAGAAAAAGTAAAATGCACTTTTCAGCCAAAAGCCCGAAAAACGTTTTTTTAAGTAGAAGTTATACTTGAAAACAATCTTTTTAGCTTTTTTAAGCCAAAAGTCGAGAAATACTTTTTTAAAGTGTTTGCAAACACTCCCTTAATCATCTTTGACTTTTATACTTAAAGAATATAAATTGCGATTAATTATTTTAACTAATATTTCTATGTAAAAGTTAATAACTTTATACTTGTATAAGTTGGTTATTAAGAACATTTTTATATCATTTGTATATTATCAATACCTATGTGTGTAAATATATAATTGGTCAAAGTTATACATCATTAATTTGAAAAGTTAAATTTAGCTTAATAAAATGGGGCAGATTGAGTATAAAATTAAAATTGGATGACGTGAAATGTCGCATCGCTAATCGAGAAATCTCCCAGAACTCCCCGCAATGCGCAAGCAAGCAAGCAAGCAGTCAAGCAGTAGAGCCAAGCCACCACATGCACCAGATCGCAAGCTGCCAAGGCTACCGGAGCCAGCTCGTTGACTACCGTATGGTCGTGCCCGTCCCGCCCTCCGGTAAGTTTTCCCGTTTATGTGATTGTGCCCCCGCTTAAATTATTCTATAGTTCCACCGCTGTGCAGGCTGATGTATCATGGGAGTGTTATATACTCCGTATATTTTACTCCCTCCGTCCCAATTTCTTTTGCAAAGTCAACAATTTTTGGTCAAGCAATAATAAAAGTCAACCCTCCGTATGGATAATTAATTAAAATTTTAATAATTAAAACTTACATATTCATAAAATACATTAAAATCTCTTCAAAATTGTAAACTCCAAATTAGAACATAATTAAAAATTGACATCCAAATTAAGTGAACAAAACGAGAC